TTCATCATTTTTCTGGGGCTCAGAATTTAATCACTCCAGCTGCAAGGCTATTGTATCGGAGAAAGTCATATTGCCAAGGGGAGCGGCCAGCCACACAGCATACGGGTAATGCAGGATGCTACACATCCTCTACCCTTCCCCAACCCTTTTCCTTAGAAAGGCACCATGAACATCTGCACATTAAAGGCTCTGAGAAGTCTGGCAATAAATACGTCTGTTTCATTTTGTGTAACTTAATGTTTCTCAAACTCATTTAAGAATAAATATCTTTCTCATGGCACACAGGGTACCATGACACCAGTTTGAGAAACAATGATTCTGTACTTAATTTACAGAATGATTATGTATAAAAAAATCATTCAAAAGATTCCTGCCTCCACTTAACCTCACTTTCACAGAAGACGTTATATGCAATGATAATGTTCTTGAATAGGGGGTTCTCCAAAGTTTTTGAAACTTATCTTGCACAAGAATACGTTCAAATCATCTACAAATGTGTTCTTCTTTCTTCAGTTCCCACTTTTGTGCAATTGTTTTCCTTGCTACATAACTATTTCAGCAATTTTCTACTTTGCCATTTTATTTTACTTTATTTGTTCATTTAACAAACACATCTCTAGTGCTCCTTGTATAAGTACTTCATTAATAACTCACAAAGCCCTGACTGGTGTGGCTAAGTAGATTGAGCACCAGCATGCAAACCAAAGAGTTGCTGGTTCCATTCCCAGTCAGCGCACATGCCTGGTTTGCAGGCCATGTCCCCAGTAGGGGGTGCAATGAAAGGCAACCACACACTGATGTTTCTCTCCCTCTCTTTCTTCCTCCCTTCCCCTCTCTCTAAAAATAAATAAATAAAATCTAAAAAAAAAAAAAAGTAACTCATATAACCTAAAACAACCTCATGAGTTAGATGCCATTATGATTATTATCCCAGTTTTATAGGTCAGGAGAATGTAGTCTCAAATGATGATGAGGTGCTCTTGCCTAGATCTTATTGTTTTTAGAAAACTTCCGCAAGTATTTTTCTTTAGTCATATTGTTGTTTCTAATTGTAAATATAAACTTTATATTATGTAAGGGAAGAAAATCTCTATTCCTTTTTATCTGTTTTAATGTTTCTTGGTCAACATTAAATATTGAAATATGCTAATTACCTTTCTTTGCCTCTATTGAGATAATCATGCTTTCTATCATTTCTCAGTTAATATTAATAAAGTATCATGCTAGTTTTGCTTTCTGGAAGCCAACAGTCTTTATTTATACTAGATCATTTCTTTTATTGTGTTATTGTATTTTCTGCATTAAGATTAAGATTTTATTTCAAAGCTCATAAATGAATTGAACAGAACAACTGTTCCCTTCTTTATGATGGTGGGAACGGCCCTGGATGGTGTGGTTCAGCTGGCTGGGCATTGATGTGCAAATCAAAAGGTCCCCAGTTTCATTTTTAGTTTCACATTGATGTTTCTTTCCCTCTCTTTCTCCATCCCTTCCCCTCTCTCTAGAATCAATTTTTTTTAATTTTAAGATGAGGAGTGTGAATTATATTTACATCAACCAATGCAATGTGTAAATACCAATTCAGTAGCTCCCCTGTTACTCTGCGCTAGATGCTATAGAACATGAAAGATTCAAACTGAGCAGAATATGAGCGAGAACAGTGGGAAGGGAAGCAGACCTTCTATGGCTATGTAGGAAAAAACAGTAAACAATAATTCAGAGAAATTTATAAGTGTCCAGAATCTGTAAAACTAAACACTCGTTTTCTGTTACTTTATTTTAGTTTCACCAGAAGACTAAACTTGGGTATTACTTAAATAGAAGAGGTCCCAGATCAACTGCGTGAACACACAGGACAAAGTCTGCATCTGCCTTCCTGGCAGCTATATGCCCACCATCTAGCCAAGTGCCCGGCATACAGTAAGTGCTCAGTAAAAAATTATTTTTAAAAAAAGACATGAGCCAGCTCTTTGACCTAACCGACTGGTCAAGTTGGTTATCAAAATGCAGGACAGCTACACATTTGTTCAACGAGCCATCAAGGAAAGAGGTGCTGCAAAGAGTTCACCTTCATCTGACGTCAGTCTGGGGTGGGAGGGAACAGGAAGCTTGGAAAGATGGGAACCGGACAGCAGAGACAGTCCCTAGGGCCTGGAGAAAGACAACTGGACCACAAGGTTTTCTGGCAGCTTCCTCTGCCCTAGAGACAGAGCTGAGTTTCTCTATCCCTCCTGGCACCTGGACTTGGCAGTGGGTCCTTTGCAACCCCAAAGCCCTCAGAGCTTGTGGGGTCAGGACTTAGCAACAATTATGAAACATGGAAAAGGTCTTCCCCGCTCCTGTAATTGTACCTAGCAAGCCCTGAGCAAATCCAGTCAACGGGTACCTGGTGACTAAAATACATTCAGACTCAGAGAAACACATATTATGTATGGACTGAATAGATATATCACAATGAGTGAGCAAACTTGTCACATCCATTTCCCATTTTTTCTTTCCACTCATTTTATCCACCTTCCTCCCACCACCCCCCTCAACCCCCACTAAGTCCCATTCTCCATTCCAAGCCCTCTTTACTTTCCCTTCTGGGTCTGATGCCCTCTCCTCCCTCTCAGATTCGCTGGGCCCCCTTTGCCCTCTCTCCCTGTCTGCTCCTCTTTCCCTGCCCCTGTCCTGCTCTGTCAACACCCCCCCCATTCCTTATTCCCCTTGCCCTAGGGTCTGCGGGTGGCTGTGAATTCTACAACTGCTTCCTTCTCTCACATCTTGCTGGGGTCCATAGCCAGCACTCCTGTTGCTCAGAGATGTGGAGGCAGTTGCTAAGAGACAGTGAAACGTCAGTACCTGGCCCTCGAAGAAAAAAAGGGAGCGAAAAAAGAAGAGAGGAGGGGGAGAGAGGGAGGGGAAGGGCAGGGAGGGGAAGCCACAAACCCCAGCAGCCTCAGCACCAAGCTGAGTTTCTAGAAGCAGCATTCAGATTCTGTGAACTTTCTTCTCAACATCCTCCCTCAGATTCCCCTTTTGAGTAAAAGAAGGGGACAAGCTCGGGGACCAGCTCGGAGACCAGCTCAGGGACCAGCTCAGGGACCAGCTCAGGGTCCACAGGACGGGAAACCACCGAGGATGCTGCATGGGGATCCAGGAGCCATGGAGGAGGAGAGGCCGGGGGAGGGGACTAGCTGAGGAGGCGATCTGTTCTCCTGAAGCAGCAAGCGGGGATTCCAGCCTGAGGGAGGGAGCCCCGTGTCTGCCGCAGATTGATGGCTGTGCCCTTGGAACAGAGTAAGTGGGCTCCTGAGGGCCTGTGGGAGTGCAGGTGGAGACTTTGGGGTTCAGAAAAATGAGTCTGGATCAAGGGGAGCTGGGGGGGATTTCCCAGAGGGCGGGATCGAGGCCGGAATCCGTGGGAAGAAAACAGTGCCAGATGAGGGGATGCGAGGGGATGCGGGGAGGACATGTGAGGACAGCAGGTGGGCACCGGAGAGTCCAGGGGCCAAGGGAGACCGCCTGGTGGGTGGCAGGGTGAGCCACCGAGTGTGTCATCGTACTCTGTCCCTCTGCCTGACCAAGTGTGGGCGTGGGCTCAAGCTGGGGGGGCTGAGGGGAAAGTGAAGTGTTTGTGGGAAAGGGTGCTGGATTAGGGGTGTGCACTGGGGGTGAAAGATGGTGGGGACAGACTCGGAGGGGCTCTGCCGGAGTGCATGTGCAGACGGAGCTGGAGAGAAAACTGGGGAGCCCTGAGCACAGGGCAGGGTGAATGTGTTGGAGTCACAGGAAAAGAACTGTGTGTGTGTGTGTGTGTGTGTGTGTGTGTGTGTGTGTGTGTGTGTGAGACAGAGAGAGAGAGAGAGAGAGAGAGAGAGAGAGAAAGGGAAAGCTAAGAGTCTGGGAGAGGTCTGCAATCTGCCAGAGTGTGTATGCGTTTTTTTCTTTGAGAGTTGTTCAAGGGTGGGGTATTTGGTGTTGACAGGGGTGGGGCTACGAGGAGAATAAGAAAATGCATCCAGCCCAGGACACTTAGGAGGATGGCTGAAGTTAGGGGCCTGAAAGGTTACTGGGTAACAAGCATGCGAGGTTGGGATCTGAGCCCACCATTGCCACACCTAAGAGACAGTACACAGAGAACTTTGTGACTGGTGGCAACGGGGAGGGGACAAAGAACCTAGGAGAGGGGACCGCGGGGAGAGGAGGGCACTATATTTTGCTGCCTGAGTGCTTTCCTTGTTGACAGAAAGAATTCTGCCTCTGCCTGCTGAACGCAAAGCTGGCTAAGAGAAGCATTGCCTTGGGAAGTCACCAAAGCTCCTAGCTGCCCCCCATCCTGCACCTCCAGGGCACATGACTCTTTCCAGGCCCAGCAGTCCGAACAATGGGTGTTACTTGGGGTCCTCCCCTCCCTGGAGATGTCAATAGACACTGAGGCTGAAGACTCAGGCATTCAGGAGGCCCATGGAGATCCACCTGACCCTGGGCTCCCTGCCCAAAACACCTACCCCACGACCCCCTTGGACTCGAGCCCACTGGGCCACCAAAAGAATCACCTCTGAGACCTTGAATGCTGGAGATCCAGGTGCAGCTCTGGCCTCCTAATCATTAATCCCAGACTTGGAGCAGGATTTAAGGTTTTTAGAAGTGCCAGGACCTTCGAAAGATACCTTTCATGTCCTCCACGCCCCTTCCCCCCTCTCAGACACAGTACAGAGAGGAAGCCCTCAACAGTCATGGGTGCGAGGGGCACCAAAGATCTGCAGGGACCCTTCCACGACCTGCTGGCAGCCAGTGCAGTCCCATCCTCGCTTCCTTCCTTTCTCAAGTTTTGATCATCTCTGCAGATTCTGGGGGACCTCAAGCACATTGATTGCCCCCAGGCTCCAAAGGGGACTTCCTGTGGCTTTCACCTAGGGAGCCCTCTGGCACTGAGAGGCTCCCAGGAAAGACTTGAGCCATGACACCACGTGCTCAGAAGCCCCACCCTCTAGGGCTCTAGGCCTCTATGTAGCTGCCTTCCTGTGCCACTGACTCTTGATTCCATGGACACAGCCCCAGTCCTGATGGGCTCCCTTCAGCACTGCCCTTGCCAGCTGCCTAAGATGGGTGACACCTGGTCCCAGCTGCCCTGGCCTGGGCCCACCCATCCAGCTTTGCTGCTTGTCTCCCTCCTCTTGGCAGCTGGGGTGATGCACTCGGATGCTGGCACCAGCTGCCCTGTCCTTTGCACGTGCCATAACAAGGTGGTAGATTGCAGCAGCCAACGGCTATTCTCCGTGCCCCCAGACCTGCCCATGGACACTCGCAACCTCAGCCTGGCCCACAACCGCATCACCGCCGTGCCGCCTGGGTACCTCACATGCTACATGGAGCTCCAGGTGCTGGATTTGCGCAACAACTCCTTGATCGGACTGCCCCCGGGCCTCTTCCTCCATGCCAAGCGCTTGGCACACCTGGATCTGAGCTACAACAACCTCAGCCATGTGCCTGCTGACATGTTCCAGGAAGCCCACGGTCTGGTGCACATCGACCTGAGCCACAACCCGTGGCTGCGCAGGGTGCATCCGCAGGCCTTCCAGGGGCTGATGCAACTCCGAGACCTGGACCTAAGCTACGGGGGCCTGGCCTTCCTCAGCCTCGAGGCCCTTGAGGGCCTGCCAGGGCTGGTGACCCTGCAGATCGGTGGCAACCCCTGGGTGTGTGGCTGCACCATAGAGCCTCTGCTGAAGTGGCTGCGGAACCGGATCCAGCGCTGCACGTCAGGTAAGGGAGTGGGCAGGATTGGAGGGCTGGCGGGGAGCGGGTGCTGGCCTTAGTGAAAGCAAAGGCTCCAAAGAAGAGAGGGGGGCTTAGAGATCTTGAGCACCTACTTGTGTGCCCTGATTTGTGCTCACCTCTCTGTACTTTAGGTCTCTGACTCCACAAATATTCGTTGGTCCCCCCTTTGCAGTACTAGGCTCTGGGGACCCATTCATAAATGAAGCAGGCACTACCTTTGCCTCTGTCACACTTATGACCTAAGGAGTCAGACAGACAGTAAACAAGTAAGGAGAGCTAATAATAGACAGTGTTTATTGAGCTTTCACCGTGACCCAAGAACTTGGCACGCATGGTCTCATCGGCCACCCATTTTTATTATCCCCACTTTACAGGTGAAGACACTGAGATTTAGAACCATGAAAAGAGTAGCCCAGAACCACTCATTTAGAAACTGGCAGAGCCATGGATAAAACTCAAGTGTATATGACTTCTAAGCCCTCTTCTACTCTACCAGACTGCTTCTTAAGTGTTCTGAGTGCTCACAAAACTCTTGCAGAAATAGAAATGGCTAACGCTATTTCTTTTCATACTTACTACCTATCATGCTCTATTCTAAGCATATTACATATTTTAGCTCATCTCATCCTCACATGAACCCTAGTGAGCGCTCCCCACTCTACATAGGGGGAAACCGAGGCACAGAGAGGTGCAGTAACTTGCCACAAGTCACAGCACTGCTGCGTGTTGGAGTCAGGAGTCGCTCCCTCGCACTCTGGCTGCCCTCTGGCTGTACCTTGAAGAATCTGATTCTAGGCTAACAGGGGGAGTCAGGGCCTGCGTTCCGGGCTGACCAACGGGCCTCCACAGCATTCTGTAAGGTCTGCGCATGGAATGAAATGTTGAGAGGAGAAACAGGGATGTGACAATTAAACCAGACAGTCCTGAGAGGGGGTAGCTTGGGGACTGAAGGAGCCTGAATCACACGGAGTTGATGGGCCCAGGCTTCACCCATTGGGGGCTGTCAGTCCTGTTCAGCTGCGGCCCCCGTGTCCAGCTCTCCTGTGTAGCCGCACTGAGCTTTGCACTGAGCAGCAGGATGACAGGAATAGCTGAGGGCACTATCCCAGGGGCTTTCCCAGAGTGTGTTCAGAAGTGTTGAAGAAGAGGTAGGAGGGAGAGAAGGACTGAGTGGGGAGCCCAGGAACAAAATAGCTTGGGGGGGTGCTGTGGGTCACGAATCCTGTGTTTCCACAGAGCTGTGGGAGGATGTTTTCTAGGACCAAAATAACTGGGGACTGAGATGGGACAATGGTAGCAGGCATGAGGGGGAGGCTGCCTGGAGCAACCTCCCCTCCTGCTCAGCCTTGGCAGGCTGCATCTCCTCCTCCCTCTCCTGTGCACTGGGGACAGAAGGAGCACTCTGGGCCCCAAACTTCCACCACACTTGGGCGCCTCCTTTTCTGGAATCTCTGAGGTCTCTACTGCCCTTCAGAAGAAGCTCAAACTCTCAGCAAGTGGGAAAGGGATCCAACTTGCTACATCACTACAGCCTCATGTCAGTAAAGATGAAGGAACCAAGCTCCAGAAAGGGGAAGTGACCATCCACAAACCAACAGTGAGAAGTCAGATATGCCACATCTAGAAACCCAGGTTCCTTGTTCCCCCACAGAACACACTTTATGGCACACCACACTCATGGATAGTTCTTCTTGGGAGCAAAGAACTTGTCAGTGTAGGTAGGATTAAGTGATCCTCTTTCCTTTGTCTTTTTCCTGCCTCTTCTCCCTGTTTCAAGGGATTCCCACTACTATTCACAATTTTTAGACAAATCCCAACACAGAGAAACGTAAGGGTGCCCTTGGGATATGACTTAACTTCAGGACTGGTCCCTTGACTTATCAGAGAGTTTTGCCAGCCCCCAAGCTCCCATCCCACCCTCTGATGGGGTTCTGCCATGTGCCCTCAGAACCTCCTCTGGTTGGTCCACACCAATTGCCCTCGGTGTCTCCATACTCCCCAGCTTTATATTGTCTCACAACTACCCTGGTCATGCACACAGTGGACTTGGGAGTTCAGTATCTTTCAGTTCCAAGAGAAGAGCCTCTTGATGGTCAACTCCAGATACAGTCTTGTCCTGGGCAGGGTCTGGAGTACTGTGTATACAGACAGCCTACAGGGACCCATCAACCCTGGGTTGGGGACAGGTTGTAATCTTTTTCTGAACCTGACTCCTCATTTCTAAGGAGAATGATGTCATTCACTTCTCAAAAGGGTCAATCAAATCCACTTTTATTCTTTGTCCTCAAAAATTGCAGAATGAGTAGAAAGCCTTTTGTACCATATAATTGAGAAAAGTCCTTCACATTGACTCACCTAGAAAATTAAGTTAGATTGTCCCCTTCTTATATGTCCCCTTTCTTCATGAAAGCCAGAAAGGGGTAAGAATGACTTGCCTAAGGTGAGAGCTTGATTAATCTGAATGAAGGAATGGCAGAGCAGCTACCTGCCTGCCACTCTTACTCCCAAGGCAGAGTACAATGAAACCATCGGCAGTCATCAAGCATTTGTACACTTGACCCTGGAAGGATGAGGTGGCACCATAAATGGTGGAGAGAACAGTAACCCAGTGAAGGAGAAGCTCCCTCCTATAGAAGTTTGTGTGCAGACTATGATCCTCTCTGACCTGTCCAGAGAGGCCAAAGTAGGATAATAACAAAAGCACACATCTACACAGTATTTACTATATACAAAGAATATATCGTTTATATATGTTAACTCACTGACTCCTCAGCACAACCTTATGAGGTAGATACTATTATTATCCTCATTTTACAGATGAAAAAACCAAGACACAAAGGGGTCGAATGACTTACCCTCAATCACACAACTAGGGAGAGATAGAGAGGGCATTTGAACCCAGGCCAATAGCTTTAGAGCCCATTCTCTTAACCTTAAACTTTGTGTATCTGGAAAAGCCACATGGTGTAATAGAAAGACCCAATGCTTTGGAGTCTGACAGAGTTATTTATTCATATATTCATTTCACAAAGATTCATTGAGAATTTACGTGGGCAGGACATGGTTCTGATGCTAAGTATACTATGAGAAATGCTTATATTCAAGGTGGAGAAGATAGATAATAAATAAACTGTCAGACAGTTGTAAATACTGTGGAGAAATATTAAGCAGAGTTAGTAAGACAGAAAATGCCTAAAGAAAAGTGACGTGGCAGATACTATTTTATACAGAATCATAAGGGAAGGCCCGCTAATAAGTTGTTATTTGAGCAAAGTCCCACAGGAAGTGAGGGACCAAGCTGTGCAGAGATCCAGAAGAGAAGCACCCTCACAAAGGGACAAATGCAAAAGCACCCTCTCCCTACTCCAAAAGGAGATAATGGAAAAATGACCAGGAAGTGTGAGTGGATGGAACAGAACAAGCAAGGAACAAAATGAAAGAGATAGGAAGAAGTCCTTGCATCCCCTGGTGAGGACCTTGGCTTTCATTCTGTGGGAAGATAAGCAGAGAGTGACATGACAGGTCTTAAGGTTTGAATGGATCACTCACCAGCTGCGTTGAGATGGTTTAAGAGCAGAAACTCAGACACCAGTGGGGAGGTTGTTTTAAGAGACTATGGTAGACCACAAAAGCCCCAGTTCTACCATTAGTAGTGGCTATTGGACTTTAAGTGAGTTGTTAAATTCTTCTAGCAGTGTTCTTCACATCCATAAAAATAGGTACAAAAATATTTGCCATATGGGCTGTTGAGGGAACTAAAGAAAGTCAGTCAAAATTTTGGTACAAAAGAAAATCAGTAAGAAACTCCTCTTCCCCTGGGTTGGATAAGGGGTCTCCATTCCATTCTCTCTCCCCCAGGAACCTCACTCTCCCTGGATTCTGTGTTGCAGATTCTCAGCTGGCTGAATGTCGGGGCCCCCCTGAAGTTGAGGGCGCCCCACTCTTCTCCCTCACTGAGGAGAGCTTCAAGGCCTGCCACCTGACCCTGACCCTGGATGATTATCTTTTCATTGCATTCGTGGGCTTTGTGGTCTCCATCGCATCCGTGGCCACCAACTTCCTCCTGGGTATCACAGCCAACTGCTGCCATCGTTGGAGCAAAGCCAGTGAAGAGGAAGAGATTTGATATAGGATTTGATGTGGGTACCTGGCATCACTCCATGCTACCAACCACCACTGCCGTTGACCACTGGACACCCTCCCTGGCTGCCCACTCTGACCCTGTGATGCCCTGGCCACCTTTGTCATGGCTCAAGCATTGTTGAGAAACTACTTTTGAGTGAGCTTCTACTGTGGGCCAGGCACTGTGCTAGGAACACAGTATTAAATGAATCCATCATGTATTTGCTCTCAAGGCACTTCTCTTTGATAGAGAAAGAGATTCAAAAACTAATCTCTTTAAGACAATTGGCTGGCATTCTGAGTACATAGCAATGGAAGCCCAGAGGAGGAGTCATCAACTGTGCTTTGACAAGTCCAAGAGAAGGACAAGAGTGGAGGTGATTCATGAGCTGAATCATCAAAAGCCATCTGCTTTGTCAAGCTGACCAAGAAGGGTGGACAGGCATGAATGACAGAGGCCAGAATATGCATGGTCTATTGAAAACTGTGGTGAACAATCCCCGTGACCTCAGGGTACAAAAGGGGAGTGGCACAGGACCAAAACTTTCCCTCTGATGCTCAGTTTGTCAGTGCTTGGGGCTGCCGACCATTGTCTCAGGAGGGTGAGAATGCCCCCATGCCAGCCCCCTTGGCCACCTCCTATCATCAGCTAGCAGGTGAGGCCACCTCCCAATGACTGCCCCCACACTAGATCACCAGCTGTAGATAACTGGCTAAGTCCCAGGTAGCAAGCTAAGGACGGACACCTTCAGTGACCTTTCTCCCACCCCTGTCTTCTGCCTCTCACTCCAGCTTTGGCTTCAGAAGAAGCAAGAGGCCGAGGAATGGGGTGACAAGGAGTCCCTGGCACTCTGGGACTCCTAATCTTGTGACTGTTCTTGCCACAGTGTTCATGCCAAGGAATGTCAACAGGAAAGTGCACTTGGGCTGCATCCCTGTAGCATGACAGTATATAACTAAAGGAAGAGAAGGTCACCGCTGTTGTGATAATAGGAGAATTTGCTCTTCCTTTTAAGCAACTCACTCACTTTAAGCATAAGAGTGAGAGAGCTATTAATCACCAAGCACTTGCCAGTGTTGGGCACTGTGATAAACTCTCTCCATAGACAATTTCATTTAATGCACATAGAAGTCTTCTGAGGTAAGCATTGTAGTTCCCATTTTACAGATGAGCGAGTGAGGCCCATGATGGGTGAGTAAGGCCCAGAGACGTCAAGGTCATGTGATACTTACGAGCAAAACAAGTCTGTGCTCTTTCAATTACTCCATTCAAGTAAGGGAGCATCACAGTTCCCTCTAAAGTTATTTAGATTAAAATTCAAGGAGTGCTTATGAAGCTCCTAATAAGAGCCAGGCACTCTTTTTGGCACTTTTACATCTATTGACTCATTTGTTTCAGTTCTCACTGCTACACTGCCTGGTGGTTTTTATTATTCCCATTTTACTGATGAATTCATTGTAGAGATTAATATCTTGCCCAAGGTTAACCAGGTAAACTCTAGAAGGAAGGTGATAGGTGGCTCCATTCAGGGAAACCGCGTCTAATCTATCAGTCAGAAATCAAGTGACTTCATGTGCAAAGCACAATTCTCATCATTGTCATCTTCATTATCAATGTCATGAACTTCACCTTTATCTTCCCTACACTTGTTCAGCACTGGACAGTTCATGAAGTGCTTCTGCATTGTTCTTCTTGACTCTTCACAGCTCTGTGCAACAGGCAAACCAAACATCATTGCTCCTATTTTACAGATAAAAAAAAAAAATAGAGACTAGAGCAAGTGTGACTTGCCTAAGCAGCAGGGTTGGACTCAACCTCTCTTGGTTCTTTCCAGTGCCGTCCCAGGTGCTTGTGGAAAGGAATGCCTGGGAGGCTGGGTTTGCGGTCCTGGGACTCAGCAGCTGTGAACATCCTAGTAGATCAGCTAAGGAAAGGGTGGTAAAAGCCCAGCTGCTGTAGAGGTTCAGTAATGCTCACAGTAGGGCAAATCACAGCCTCTGCAGCTTAGAAGCATCACCGATAACACCTAAACAGCAGCCACCTGCCTTGCAATGTGTAAATAATGCATTAGAAATGGTGGCCATCTGAAAAGTAAGATCTTTGGGGAATAGGAGAGAAAGCTGAATTAACCCCTTCTATTCAAGCCCTGCTATGTTGTGTTGCAAGACATACAAAGGGTGCCAGGAAGCTGTGGGTGAGGACCTTTGCCTAATAGGGGAAGACTTAAGGCATGGGCCAACATGTTGCCAAGGCTGGTGGGGATATGAATTAAAACAGGGGCTTCCTAGCTTGCCCCCAGCTCCAGCAGTCTTGCATCATCCCATTCTCCTGGCAGGCCTGAAGGAACGAAGGAGAAACATATCATCTTCCAAGAAGTCTTCCCTTACTCATGCTCCCCGAACTTGTCAGCCAAAAGAGTGCCCAGAAACTTTTCTAGGCCTGGGGTACTTGAACCTTCTGTCCCCCTGAATCTTGCTTACAACATCTGGGCAAGAGCCCTGCTCTTGTGACATCTGGAGCAGGACTGTGCCTGATCTCTTCTTCTGCTATGTCCAGTGACACATGGCCTGGGCTGCTCTCCATCAGTCAACACAACAGCCTAATGTATTTGGGGAGGAACTTGTAGAAATCATAGTCCTGACACAAATAGTTAAGCCTCCCATAGAAGAATACTATATACATCTATGATAATCTCCTAGACATTCTTGTTTGCTGAAATATAGTTAATATATTTTAAGATATGTACTCTTTTTTTCCATAGAACTAGAACCAAACAAGACACCAAATGCCCCTTGAGATCAAAAGACCTTTTTAATGAAACTCTTTATTCCCCATTAATAGCAAAGCTTTCTGAGTAGGATACATGGCTTTTAAAAAATAGATGCTTTTCCAGCTATTTGAAGGTCCCCAGTTAACTAGAGCACAATGAGGAAACTTCCCTGCCGCAAGGATTTCCATTTCTCCCCCACCTCCCACCACCAGCATCTTGTGCAGCCTATCAGAAGCAAGCGTCCAGAAGCACGCTTGTAGAGGGAATCTAGCAGTCCTGGTTGAACCTGTTCCTAGAATGCTGCTGACCAAGAACCCATAATGGTGATCCCACAAGACATCATTGTTTTTTCCAGACTAGTTAACATGTAAATGCTGGGGTATCTTTGAGTCCATGTGTCTGTTCATGAGGTTTCATGTCTGTTAGGTATCTACTGATATGGGGCCGATCTCTCTGGACCTTGAGTTTAGTCCTCTGACACAGACTACTCAGCCATCTCTTTATCACATTCCTTGATACACTAAGATGGAATCCCACAAGGGTTGGGGTAGAGATAGCTGTTCAGAGAACATAAAAAGAGAAAGAGATCTGACTGAGGCTGACTAATGACAGTGTGACTTCCATCCATTCTCCTCTACCCCTCAGAAATTTGTCTATATCACAGAAGCTTTCTTAATGCTGGGCCTGAGGATATCAAAGTTCAGATAGTCAACAGTGCTGTGACGGTCAAGGTCTGGGCCAGTCAAGGGCCAAGGAAATCATTCTTTAGAAAAGACCACACATTGACACCACACTGCACTGAAGCAGTTACTTCTGATCATCCTCAGACATTGTCTCTCAAAAGGAATGTTTCTCCATTTCTATAGAGATTCCCAGGGAACCCTGCAGAAACAGATCCCCAGAGTTGTTATAGAGTCTGCTGGCTCCTTTCAAGGAGGCTGGTGCCCAGAATCTGAACAGACCAAAACAGGTATTTCTCTTCAACCATCAGGAAAGACCTGCACCTCTATTTCCCCTATAGTTGTTTTGGTTATACTGCTCAGACATCCTTTCCACTTCTAGAAGAGAATAAGGAAACACCTTTGTCTATTCCTCCCAAAGCTAGAGAAACTTGTCTGCTCTCCCCACCCCAGAAGGAGGCAAAAGAGAAGTGAAGAGAGCAAGTTGCAAGGTCCTGTGTATATCACCATCTAGTGTGCCACGGCACTGGGTGGACAGATCTGGAGCCAAAGAGCTCCTAGGAATGCTGATGTCTGGGGAAGGAGGGTTAGGGAGGGGTGGGGAGAGGGAAGATGCCAACCTTTGTATGGAGATGATTTTATAACCATGCACTTTTGTAACCGTGAAGAATTTTTCATAAATGTACATTAATAATAAAGAGTGTATAGTTTAACAAATTTTCTAAGGAGTTGTGAAGGGGAGGAAGAAAGAGGGAGGCAGGGAAAGAAAGAGAGAAAGGAACTAGGAGGAATCAAGAGAATGTGTGCCAAAGTATACACATCAAAGGTCTATGGGAGGGGGGGAGTCAATGGGAATAATTAGGAGACGTGCCAGCCATGGAGGGGCATGTGTGGGAGTAGAAAGAACATCACGGAAGCATATTTCTACCAGGCAAAAAAGAATGCGTGTTAGTCTGTATGCACACAAGCCTATGTGTAGGCATATTTTGGTGCCTAAAATTATACAAAGAAAAGAGCATATGTCTTATACATGTTGGTGTTTGCAGCTTGGGTCATCTGTAAAACATGCCAAGGCAAGTGGGCGTGCCTTCCTAGTTAGCATCACTGAGGCGTGTGTGCCAGGGAGATGGCCCACACCAGCCATGTGAGCAAAGGGACCCTAGCTCAGGCAGACAGGTAAACCAGGCTTCTAAATGGATAGTCCAGGGGATGGGCGAGGCCATCACTCGTGTAGTTTCAGTCGCTGTTCTCACAGGTTAAAAAAGAAGGGAAGGGAACTTAAACTTCCTAAGTCTTGCAAGTGTTGCCCACACACCACTGGAACTGAGATGGCTGGACAGTACCTTGAGAACAGAGATAGGAAAAAGAGGAGCAAAGTGTGCTCCTACATGTGCAAAGAAAGACGTTTTATCCTGGTACCCTGAAGAGGAAGTGGCACTAGGCAGGAAGTGGTTCTTCCCACCAATACATACTTTAACCTTCTTCTATTCCTCATGTTCCAGTCTCCACAGGGGACAGACAAACCCTGCGCTCACGGAGTAAAGCCACTAAAG